TCTCGGAGATGAGACCGCGGCGACAGTGCGGCCGCCAGAGCGCAGCATGAAGCGGCCGAGCTGCTTGTAGTCGCGGAAGAGTTCGATGCAGACCGCTGAGGTGACCACCTCTACGACGGCCGTCATCTTCTCGGTGAGGCAGCGCGGCCGCTTCTTCTTGACCTCGCCCGAGGCCTGGTCGATGATCGCCACCAGCTTGCTCAAGTGTGCCGGCTCGTGCAAGGTGTGCGTGTGCATCACCGCTTGGAATCCTTGTGTGCGACCACCGCCACAATTTGAAGTGAGTCCGGGTGAGTGTCGTGTGTGTGTCGTGTGTCGTGTGCGTCGAGTGTGTGTCGTGCGGTAGACCCAGTACCCTTGATGATGGGGATCTGGGTGGGGAAGACATAGATCTGCGCCTTGAAGGCGGTGGCCACGCGCACGGGGTGCTCGGGGTCGCACAGCACAGAGCCCACCTTGAACGACACCACGTCGAGGCCCTGGACCGTCAACTGTGTGCCCCCAGTGGAATGAGAAGAATTTCGTGAGTGAGCAATTCCCCACAGAGCCGGGGCTCAAGGGCGCGTGTGTGTATGCGCACCTCGACGTTGTCTCCGGCCTGCGCCCACTTAACCGATTCCTCGTGGGCCTGGATTGACTTGACCGTACACAGCTCGCCGATGGGCATCACCAACAGCTGTCACAGACGCACACGTAGGTAAGCAGCCGCGGCCAGTTGGGCACGGAAGAAGGTGGTGGGGAGGTAGTGCCTTATCGCCGACGGAGACGATGCCGGTCTCGACCTTGCCCACGGCGCCCACACCCAGCGAGCCGCTCTTGAACACGTCCGACACGCAGAACCTGAGCGGCTTCTCCGTGGGCCGCTGGCCGGGCCTGAAGGAATCTGCACAATGCGGCACGCAACCACGAATAAATGCCACAAATTCCCAATAAATTAATAAATAATAAACAATAAATAATGAAAAATGATAAAAGGGAGGAAGGTACCGATGGACTGGACCAGGGTGGGGCCGGAGTACCAGGCGGTGAGCTTGGGGTCCTTGCGGGCGATGAGGTTCTCGCCGGTGAGACCCGAGCACGGCACCCACGTGACGTTCTTCAGCAGGAAGCCGGCCTGCTTCAGGAACGCGCCCACGATGTTTTGCACCTCCTCGAAGCGCTCCTTCGACCAATCGACCTGATGCGTGTCGACGATACGGTGACTTTCCATGGTCGCGCGCACGTAATCACGCCACGACCAACGACACGACACGCGACACACACGACACACACGACACACGACACAAAGGAAAATGGCGTACGGCGTCCATCTTGTTGACGACGACGGTGAGCTGCATGACGCCCAGGGAGCGAGCCAAGAGGGCGTGCTCCTTGGTCTGGCCATCGGCGGCGAAGCCCGCCTCGAATTCGCCCGGGCTCGAATCGATCACCAGCACCGCCACGTCGGCCTGCGCCGTGCCCGAGATCTGTCGCGTGCTGACGTCAGCGTCGAGCTCTCGGAAAAAGAAAAGAAAAAGAAAAAGAAACGCACCATGTTGGGCACAAAGTCGCGGTGGCCGGGCGCGTCGAGGAGGGTAATGCGCCGGTTCTCGGTCTCGAGCCTGCGCACGGCCACGTCCATGGTCACGCCGCGCGCCCGCTCCTCCTCCTGCTCGTCGAGCACCCACGCGAACGAGAACGAGCCCTTGCCGAGCACCTTCGAGTCGCGCTCGTACTTGGTGATGGTCTTCTTGTCGACGTGGCCGCACAGGTGCAGGAGGTGGCCCATGATAGTCGACTTGCCGGCGTCGACGTGGCCGATCACCACCATCGACAGGTTGCGCTTGGA